CGTTGCTGCTTCCTCCTGCTTGCCGCTCCGCCTCTCCATCCTTCTCAGCCGGCTGTGCCATCTCAACGTCCTCCATTTCGTTCCTCGTCGTTCGTTTTTGCTCTGGAATTCCAAACGTTTTATACCACGCTTTCTCTTCGCCAATCAATCGATTTATACGCCAACGATACTATTTCCGTAAAATTTATCCAAATTTCACGAAAATTGCTTTTATTCCTCTGAAACTTTTGAAATCGACTGGGTTTTATACTCGCCCAACCGATACCTTCAAAAATCTACAGCGAAACAAGCGTAAACAGACGAAAAACCCGGTTCTGCCCCCAAGTTATCCGATGGTTCGGATTCAGTGGCCTTTGTAAACGATAAAAAGAGATTTAGTCGAGAAAATTACTAATTTATCCTTATCCAAGGACTAAAATAGTACAAACGATATAAAATATTATGGAAAACCAGCAAAAAACCCTAAAACACACTTCAAAACTACTCTATATCAAATAACACGACTTGCCACGTCGTCGGCGAGACGGGCGGTACGCGTACGGCATCAGCGGAATAGCGGAGCGTCGTTGCGAGTGGGCGCGTAGTACCGTAAGAAAGGGTTGATGAGTTGGCGGGCATGCCTACCGGCAACTTCTCACTTTTTCTAAATAAAAGGGTCACGTAAATATATATGTATTTTTCAATTTTTTCAAAAGTCCACAGACGGACACGAGGACGGACAGACGCCTCTAGCGTTTTAATAAGGAAGATATCCTGTTACACACATATTATTGTTCTAGCTTAGTTAAGAGAAAAGTGGAAAACAAAAGTGCACAAAGACTTAGTTGCCAACCTAACAGTTGGAAATTATATTTTTTTAATTCGTATTTTGCCTTCCAACCACATTTACAGCTCCAGAACAAAGTTATGGGAAATACTACGTCACACAGGTGAGCATTTCCATTAAAACTTTTCAACGATCTGCCTTAAACTCCAGATACTTCCTTGTTTACCCAATGAAATCATAGAACACCCACACTTTTTCGTATTTGCTATAGATGTAACAGTGCTCACTTTTATAATTTCATTCGCATCTATTGTAATTACTTTACAGTGCATTTATTTTTTCTCCAGAACCCTTATTTATTTGTCAAGTCGAAAAGCGAAATCTCAGAGGACTTATAAATTACAATTACAGTTTTTTATTGCGTTTTCCATTCAGATTATCATACCAACTTGTGCAATCATTGCGCCAGTATGTCATATTGCATTTGCATGTGCTACGTCGTATTTTGATCAAGGTAAATTCTAAAATGTTTTTCTTCAAATTTCAATTCTAAATATTTCAGCTTTCAATAATATATTTGTCAATGTTATTGCAGTCCATGGACTTATATCTAGTGTTGTCATGCTAAGAGTACACAAACCGCATTGGCAAGCTGTCCTAGGAATGGACAAGTGTGCATATTTGGACAAAAAGCTTATGGGAAGCTCCATCCATGTGGAGGGTACCACAACAGTGGTATTGAGCAGTAAACGACCATCGATTAACCCTCAAGTTTATATTGGTCCAGGTCATAATTATCTTCCTGTTGACTATAAAATTGAACTCTTTTTTTTTGAGAAAAAATACACTTTTTGAAACACTCAATTTATTTTACAACAGATTTGAACAAGGATAATTATTTGTAAACTTATATAAAAAAAGACTTTTCTTTAGATAGATTTATTAAGACACAGTGATAAGAGAGGGATGAAAAGAGAGATATAAGAGATATTGAGAGAGATAAATGAGTAAAAGCCGGGTCCCTATTTATAGCAATTCCGGTGCCACGCGGAAACAGTCACCACACAGCACCGTATAATTAGGAGAGGTAAAGGAATATCAATAACAATACATGAAAAAGGGAACAATTTATGAATTCTGATTAACATTAGAAATGAAGGAGCTAAACTACATTTTCTTTAGACTAAATCGCTAATTCTTTCTCACCAAAGGTGACACTCGCCACGGAAACGGCAAGGCACGAGAAAGAACTCGGTAGATAATAAAAACAAGAATTATCAAGAAGACCAGAGAAATCACCGAAATACTGGAAATCTATTTGAGCAGTCCTCCAAAAACCGTAGTTACCGCATTCGCAAGATGAGTGCCAATTGAATCGAAGATGACACTCTGTTCTCGATCTGTTCCATACTCCTTCTTCTCGAAACGAAGTTGGTCCTGTAGCTGTCCTCGCATCGTAATTGAGCTTGATCCATTCCCGCATGAAACTTCACAATCCCAATTGAGATCAGCACTCGAAGTGTATAAGAACACTTCATTGATGACTCCGGTCTAGCTACATTCAAAAAAGGAGATCGATGATGGCACTTCAATACGGCAATCTAGTCGTCCAGGTCAGAGAAGCATTCCACCTTGGCGGTGGCTCCCTCGCTATAAGAATAGCAGCCCACGACTTCCTGTGATGCTGCTTTACAAGCACCCTCCCGAGCGGCACGCCTGATGATTTGATTTGCGAAGTTGAGCTGCAAGCTCACCAAAGCAGTTGTTGCAGCTGACGTGGTCACTGCTCCTTCATGCACCCGAATGATCGTATCCGTTTCTCGTCTTGGCAATGAAGTCCTCTTGACAATGTCTTCCAACGAAATCCTCTTGCAAAGACAATCCACGTAAGTGCCTTGTCCCATACAAGTGCACAATGATTTGTCGAACTGGCAGTTGAATTGACTGGCATCGTCCATCGTAGCGCATTGCAATTCTCCAATGAGTCCTTTTGATGGATATCCACTTGATGCCACGGTGGTCTGTGAATAACCAAAAGCTTCTCGTCCACTATTATCAGTTCTTTTGATGAATGTTGCTCCATGGATTGGTGACGGTGGAGTGGAAAAACCAGTGATGGTAACGGAAACATTTGTGCTTGGAATTTTGTAAGGAATTCCATGGTGGATACCCACATTCCAAACTTTGCTTCCGATACTGATGGTGACGTCCACAGTCGTAGCGTAGAATCTATTGAAGAGACAGCTACTGTCGCATCGAAAACATCCTCCGCAAGTGACGCATCCACATCCTTCGAAGCATTCAGTGAATCCAGGAGATTTTCTTGAATCGAGCGAAAGTTCTTCGATAGTATCTTGCAATGTTGTCTTGGAACACTTCGCTGACACGCAACTTCCGGCTCCTGCACAACGAAGAGAGTACTGATGTTGCAAGTCGTAGTCACGGGCATAGAAGTGAGTGTGTGATTGGCAAGTAGACTTGATTCCTTGCACTTTTACCTCCACAGTGTGCAATACATCGGCTCCTTCGAGGACATTGAAACATCCAACGCTTCCATTTGGTCTCAGATTGAGAATACTCACTTTGTTCAGCTTACACGTTTCGTTTCCGTCTCGAAAAACACACACTGAATCCGCAGCTTGAAAAGAAGCAATTTCCGTGCATCCAGAGATGATTTCAATCAAAAAGATGCAACCCAGAGCAATAATCACTTCATGGTGTTGATTCCTCTTTTTCAGGAAAAACTTGAGTACTCCGTGGATTGATCGGGCCAAAATCCGAATTCCGAAAGTAACGATCGTAACCACGAGTGTGATTACTTTTGCTACGAACTCACAAATTTTCACAGAAGCGTAGAGTAACTAGATGACGATGGAGACTTGAATCATCATGGCCATTGCAGGAACGACTTTGTTGAAGGTGGTCACGATTTCCGTCAGATAAGAATCTTGATTGTTCGGTGTCAAAGCATAGCAGTCCAGAGAAGAAACGGTTGGCAGCAGTAACGCCATGGCGAGTAGTAGAGAGAATGACATGAGTCTGGGTGACCTTCTTCTTTGCTTGGGCGCTGAGTCGCTGTTGATATTCATTTTTTCCTTTTCTTCTTTTTGGAGTTCGGTTGTCAGTTCACTGGATACTTGGAGTGGCTCTTCCTTCTTCACAATTGGCTCAAAAATCTCGGTTTCGATGGGGAACAACTTGTTGAACGGGTACTCTCCTTTCCTCTTTGTTTCTCCATTCAGAATGATGGCTGAACGAGGCTTCGTTTCCAGAATCTTGGCCATTGTCCACTTGTTCTTGTGAACGTCCTTTTTCTCGATGAGCACGACGTCTCCCACTTCTGGTTTCTTCGGCGAGGTGTGTTTCTGTCGATGCAGAAATTCCTTCCTTTCTTGAAGAATTTGTGGGTACTCTTTGGACCATCTCCTCCGGAAGATTTCTTTTCTTTCTTTTCTGCTTTTGTACTGACGGCAGTCTTCAGAACGATGCATCATCCTGGGTGACGCACAGAAAGGGCACGGCTTGGTCGCTTTTCCACTGAGTCGGACTTCTTGTTGGTGTTGATGGTTGGATGACTTATGCTTGGAGACTGCAGACATGGTGGTCAAATGACGCTCCTCTTTGTGATTGATTCCATAAATGTCATCAACCAAGTTTTCGGTCTTCGAAATGTTGTGGAGACGATTGATCAGTTCGCTGGCGCAGAATGGAGTTTCTGTTCCGTTGGCATACAGCTTGGCGATGATCCTTTTGGGCAGTTTGCTCTCGATGATGGCGGCTGTCATCATGTTGTCCATCTGGCATTCCAAAGAAACGAGTTGTTGGAAAGCTTTTGTCGCATTGATACATAACTGATGGAGGTCTTTGGGCAACTTTGAATGATGGATGGCAGGTAGTTCTCTCAATTGTTGAAGCAGAGTGTGCTTGAGACGAAGAGTTCCACCGTAGGAAGTGGAAAAAAGTTGGCGAGCAATTTCGTAGTTCTGATGAATGGTTGGAAGTCCTTTGATGAGGTCAAGAGCTTCTCCTTTCAGTGAGGATTTCAAATAATAGAATCTTGATAAAGAATCAACTTGCATGTAATCCATGATCGAGTCAAAAGTCTCAGTGAACTCTGAGAATGCGGTGATGTCTCCATGGAAGGTAGGAAGTTGCATGGTTGGTAGAGCAATTCGAGTTGATAGCAATGACATGGTCGGCATGAATTGTTCTTGAGAATAGATATGAGCAGTAGGAATAGTGAGGGAAGACGAATGAATATTGGGAATAGGGGGAGAAGACGAATGAGTAGTATGGGGAGGATGAATGGTTGATGTTGGAATAGTAGCTGGTACAGGATTAGAATTGTCAGGTTGGATGGTGGCGGTGATAGAGGCTATACGAGTAGTTGTTGGTTCCTTTGAATCTTTGGTCAATGATGAAACGATTTCATCCCATGCTTCGACGTCGTCGAGCTGTTTCGGGTCCAGTTCCGAAATCCGTTTTCTTGTTGCATCATACAGTTTGTGCAATAGTTCCAAGAGTTGCAAACCTTGCTCCCGGACGTTATTGAAGTCTCCGTACTTCTCACAGTAGTCTTTCTTCGTTTTCAACTCTGTGTTGTCCTTTTGAGCCAAGACTGCCCAGTCGTCGTCCAACGATTTGATCCGATTGGTTTCCTTAACCAACTTTTCCGTTAGGAAGATAAATACTCCAATGTAGTGCAGCAATTTATTTTTACAAGGAGTTATAATAGCATAGAAATAATAAATAACAGAAGATTGCAAGTTTACCACTGGGTCACCATCTCGCCCTGCCTGGGTCACCATATAAAGAAAAAGACTTTTCTTTAGATAGATTTATTACGACACAGTGATAAGAGAGGGATGAAAAGAGAGATATAAGAGGTATTGAAAGAGATAAATGAGTAAAAGCCGGGTCTCTATTTATAGCAATTCCGGTGCCACGCGGAAACAGTCACCACACAGCACCGTATAATTAGGAGAGGTAAAGGAATATCATTAACAATACATGAAAAAGGGAACAATTTATGAATTCTGATTAACATTTGAAATGAAGGAGCTAAACTACATTTTCTTTAGACTAAATCGCTTATTCTTTCTCACCAAAGGTGACAATTTTTTTTCAAAAAAAAAACAAGTCGGAAAAAAGTTAATAAGAAGACCGCTTAGATGTGCTCAAAACTGTGTTTCGGCTTGTCTGAAAATTGGTCCAAGTTAGATATCTTTTTCTTAGAAACCTTTTAAAATTACAATTTCAAGTTTTGAAAATCCTGTGTACGTACTGACAGTTGTTCGATATTGGGATGACATTACGAAGAAAATCAGACAATGGGTAATAGAATTTATAGTGAAAAGAGCATTGCACAGATGGTTGACAAATGTGGCTAGGAATCTGAAAACTTTGAAAAAAGGCTCTATGAAAACTTCTGAATTTTAAAAAACCCACAAAAATCCAATATCCGTATAAGCCACTTGTAAAGCGAGTGCTGTTCCAATCGGAATTTCAGCAATAAAAAATGATAGTGCCATAAAAATCACAAGTACAGTAGTCCGCTCAGTACTGAAAATTTCAGATTTTATTTTACAAAAAATAATGCTCTACTCACCTCTTCTCCCTTTCAGATCCTCCCAAATTCTTTCTCACATTTTTCGCCTTCTGTAGTTCAATTGCCAATAATATTGTTAAAATTGGCAACAAGATACAAGGCAAAATTTTGGAAACTGTGCCGTTTAGAAGCATATAAACTTTTCCAACGATTCCATGATTATCTGTAAAAAATCGAGAAGCTCTTTGATTGACAATTGGACGGGAAATCTCTAGAGCGTAGTTCTTGTATCTGAATTTAAAAAAAAACAAATCTGATGATGTTTTCAATCCACAAACTCTTCCAAAGGCCTCCAGATGTCTGTCTCCGAATTCACAAATTCATAACGCATCCAATAGAAAATCGATAATAGAAAACTCGGAATTACACTTATCACAATAGCATGAACCCCGAGAATCGGCTTTGTCAATTTTTGGAAAGCCGCATTCAGGGCATATTTCAGGTCTGCATATCGGATAAATGCCATTAAAACACCCAGCCACGTGGCAGATCTTCGAACAAGGTCTCGGACGGAAATGAAGAACCAGAAGACGTGGAAAGAGAATAGAGTTGCTGGAGGTGTGCTGAACAAAAAGTGTTTTACAGTAAAACCTGTAATAGAAGGGTCCCCATACTGTCAAGTTTGTGCTAATTCATCTCGGTTCCTTCAAAATATATCAAAAAGTTTCCAACTGATAAAATGTTTACAATTTTACGAAAACAATTTTTTCAGTTAACAACTTTTTGAAATCTTTCACAGGAGCCGAGAAAAATGGCTCAAAAGTAATAGTCAGAAGCCCTTCTATTACAGGTTTTACGGTATATTTGAAAAATATAGAGCCTAAAGCCCGTCATTACATTGTTTCTATTCAAAAAACGTACCATTCTGAGCCCTCAGTATTATAGAGCATATGGTTGGTTCCAATTGTAATTATCATAGAAGTCATATCAAAAATTGCAATTCCAATCATTATAGAAATGACGGATGACGTCATCATTGACTTTCTGGAGAGAATGATTATGTGGAAAGTGGTGAGAAGAATTCCGAAAAAAGCAATGTAGAATTCTACACGGACACTGTAGAACGCGATTTGTCTGGAATAAATTCGATAATTAATTTTTTAGAATTTTTATTAATTTTAATCTCAGAACTTGTATACAAATAACTAGAAGGTTTTCAAATGTTTCAGTGATTTTTTATTCAAAAAATCAGCAATTTCTTAATTTTTGTACCTAACTTTTTTTCAAGAAAGTCCAAAACCAGAATGTTTCAGAATCGAATGGGTGACAAATGAATGATTCCAAAATGTCCAAAATAAAAACTTACTGTGCCGTTTGGAAAATTCCAAAAAGCAAAAATCTGGTGGAATTTCCAGTTTCCGGAAATAAATATGTAGCGTTGTCATAAGCAGTTATCGACATTTTTCTGGGAGTTTTCTGGAATCACAAAAAAAACATAACAAAGAAAAAAGGAAGTTGGGGGTTTATCAAATTTAAGACTTAATTCTGGACACAGACAGATTTGAATCACCAGACGGAACGACAATAATAATTATATTTTGGAAAATCGAAGAACACATTTTTTCAAAAAGAATCCCAAAGATTTCCAAAAAGGACATGCAATTCATGACAGGAGATTTTTACATGCAAAATTTTTTTCGATTAAAATTTTTTTTTCAATTTTAGGAGAAATCAAACTTAAAATCGATATTTAAATAACTCAACTTTTAAAGAAATTCCAACTAAAACTTAGAAACTAACATGTTTCTCATCTGCAGAACATCTGGAGCTTTATATCTCACTTCATTGCTCATTTTATTTTCAATTAAACAGAAAAATTACATAAAAACGTTATCAAGCGTTCAAAGAAAGTTAACCAACTGAAATAATATATTTTTCATGATTTTTTGATCAGCGAAAATTCAAATTCAAATAGTTTTCGAATCAAACAATCATCAAGATGTTGTTCTCCATAATGAATGTCTAGTGGAGTGAATTTTTGGGTCTGGTATCTGAAAAAAAAAACATTTCCTTAAATTCGAAAAAAACTGAAAATTACATGTAAAATTTTCCTGGCAGCTTTGCGGTACTGTATAGACATTGCAAAACAAATGAAACAATTAATAGCAGCCGCAGTCAACAAAAGAGTATTACAGAATGTGTCGGTATAGATGAATAAGAATCTGGAAATCTCAAAATTAAAGAAATTCTCAAATTGCTTAACTTACAAATATCCAAGGTCAGTATAAGCCACTTGGAATACGGTAGCAATTCCAGTTGGAAGTGAAGCCACAAATATTAAAACTGTCATTATTATCACCAGAATTGTTGTTTTCTCGGTGCTGAAAATATCTTTTTAAGAACGTTAAAATTTTTTTTAAGGATTCTGGAAGTTAAAGATAAGAAATCTTAACTGTAAACCTGAATTTGGAAATGGGAAGAAACTGAACATTTGTTGGTAAAATTAAAAATTTACCTACAAAAATAAAATTGAGAAGAAATGCAAAACTCACTTATTCTTATACAAAACACTTCCTGTATTCCTACTTTGATCATTTTTCCGAAGCTCCACTGCTAGCAAAAACGTCAAAATTGGCAGTAGAATACAAGGGATAATTTTAGACGCCGATCCATTTATCAATTGGAAAATTCTCAATGGAGCGCCATTGCCCAAAGAAAACAAATCCGATACGCGCTGTTCGTAAATTGGGTGTTCCATGTTCATTGGCACATTTGCACAACTGAGATATATCTATTAATTTCCTAAATTCTTTAAATTTTTTCAACTTACCTCTCATCAGGTGTCCATATTCCAACCGGTTCGAATTTCACTGACAAATAATATCCTGCAGAGAAAATCGAACTGATAACAAAACTGATAATAGAAGCTTTGACCCCATATTCGAATCTTGACAAGTTTTGAAATTGTGATTTTGCGAAATATTTCGAAACCAAATATCGTAACAAAGCCATTAGTACAGATAGCCACGTGGAACATCTGATAACGTCATCTCGAATTGACACCAGAATCCAGAAGACGTGATTCATCAGAAGAGAGTACGGTGGGGTACAAAGGTCACCGAAGAAATGTAAAATAATATCGCAAACGGAAATATTGACAATCATGGAGAATAAATCACAAATTGCCATTCCAAGCATAATGGAGACTATTGAATTCCCACAAAGTTTTATGAGAACTATCAAATGAAAAATAGTGAGAATTATTCCGATAATCGCAATCCAGAATTGTACATAGAGACTGTACAGCGAAAGATGTCTGGAAAATCGGTCAATTTTCAAATTTTTGAGAACAAATTTTGATATGTTTCCGTTTTTTATTTTTTGTTCATCTTTTTTTTAGTAATTTTTTTGAGAATTCCTTATCGGTTTAATGCTGAAGCTTGCTTACTTTTTCTCAAAACATTTCTGAAGTTCTCTCTGACTTTCTGAAATTAGAACAATGAAAATCTTAATTCTCAAATTATCAGCTTTTACTTTGCTAAACTTCCTGATCATCAAATTGTCAGATTCTCTGAATTGAGTTCCCTGACTTTTCAGATTTTCAGACTTTCAGAGGTCTTCATTTCCAGAATTTTGGAAATTATACTTTTCTAGCATATCTAAAAGTTCAACTTCGAAATCCCCTGGGGAATAAACTTCACTTCAATTAATCAAACTTTCTAACATTTTCAAACCCCCAATTTTCTGAATTTTGAAGTTTTTGAAGTTCCAGATTTTCAAAATTTCCAGGAATTCAAGATTTTTCTTAACTTTCCGAATTTCGAAATATTTGACTATTTGTACTCACTCCACAAAAGTATAAAGTTTGACAATAAATGCATTTTCGTCAGGTTCATTTGGAAACAGATAGAATTCAGTAAAAGTGAGCGGCATTGAAAGCTGGAAATAAAAAACCGCAAGATATCAAATCAAAAAAAAAATTAAAACTTAAAAAAAATGCTTGTGAAAAAAATCCAGATACCAACCGAAAAAGCGGCTCTTTCTATTGCTAATTATATATTCCCGAATTCCTCTGTGATGATGAATTGAGCATATGTGGTTCTGGTGAAAAACAAACATAATTCTAGGTTTTCAAAAAATTATCTACTATTGATGAGGATTTCTAGGAAAAATGAGCAATGTTTGATTTCAGCACGACATCAAAGTTTGAAATAGTTCGAAAATAAAATATACATATGATACATTTAAAATGAAAAATAATATTGTTTAAATTGAGGTTGAAGTTTTTTTATGAAGTTTTGGAATTTTCTAAAATTTCTGACTTCTGGAACTTTTGATGTTTATTGAATTTCCTGATATTATTCAAAACTTTTGAATTTTTCGATTTTCGCATTTTCCGGAACTTATTGACTTCTGAATTTCCTGAAATTTCTGATAGTCCTGGGATTGTCGAGTTTCCTTTTGTTGAGTTTCTGATCTTCTGGAAAATATATCGGTTTCACATTTCTTTCGACGTTTCATATATATTTTTTAGAACTTTTCGTCATTTTTTGCTGTCACTGAAACGAATTTTTTTGATTTGCATTTAGTTTCCAATCAGTTTTCACACCCCTTTTTAATATCAATTTTATACTAAAGTTTCCTTATTTTCGTTTTCCTTCTCCTTCAAGATTAAGCAGTTCCTCAGAGAGAAACAGTTCAAAACATTGAACCATCTCAAAAGGCAGCGAGCGTCTTTTTTCACTCTCACACGCCCGAATTCTGGAAGACTGGAATCGAGTAACTTTCTAATAGGTGGATCAAAGTTGTAGTCAATAATGATGAATATATTGTTGATTGATCGTTATAGAAATTGAAGATAAGTTATCTTAGATAACTAGAAAACAAAAACTTTAAAAATTTAGGAAAATAATTTCTCCCCACCCTAATAACCTCTTATTTCTTTCCTTATTTTTTAAATTTCTGGAGGATCCCAATTTGAATTTTAATCCAGATGTGATTCAAATTGTACATTTGAACATTATCATTTGAGTTCTGAGACTTTGAACTTATTTCCACCAAATTTTACTAATGTTTGTGCGTATTTGCTGATAGATGGAACATCTGATTTATCTGAAAACGAACTGAAATTCGTTTTCCAAAAGGTGAAAGTTTTATACGGTTTTTTGAACATCAAAAATACAAAGTTGAAAGATTTGAAATTTTTGAAGGGCTTGGAAAAATTGGAATGTGGTATGTTTTAGGTAAAAACGTTATTAGATAGCCACCCCTAATTGAACGCCAGCGTTTAATATAGTGTCACCCCAGAACACCTCCGAACAATAGAGTGCTAGCCCCTAATATAATGCCACTGCGGAGTTGATGTCACTGTGGTAAAAGTTGAAGAATAACACAAAAAATCATTATTCTGGTTTTCTAGCTTTTTTCAAGCTAAAAAAAGGTACTGTATTTGTCTAAAATTTTTCAGGATGATATCAAACTCCGAAAGTCTCTAAAAAAAGTAGAAAAAGCGGCAATCTTCTAGAATCACGGAACGAAAAAAAAAATCACGGAACGAAAAATCACGGAACGGAAAAATCACGTAACGAAAAAAATCACGGAACGAAAAATAAAATCACGGAACGAATTTTTTTTCATCTATTTGATTGTCTCTTATGTGGTTTTGTGAAGCTTATACTGTTTTATATGTTTTAAACGTTCCAATTCTCATTTATCATCAACATTTTTGATGAAGAAAGCATTGTTATCTGAATGTAACTTTATTGTGGATTAGCCCTCATTATCAACATTGAAATACAAGGGAGAGCAGGGATAAAAAATATTCTGAATATATTTTGAGAAGTAAAAAAAAACGAAAGTCAGGTGTTATTTCCGTTAAAAAAGTCTTCTCATTGTGAAGTGCCGCTTTCACTGATGAAAATTGTGTCTAACATGGAATGACTCCCAAGTGTTACCCTTGAAAAAAATCGAGACCTGTACGGTTGGAAAGAGCGTAAAAAGCTATTTTAGAATCCAAAAGGAATAGTTGGTAAAAATTTTTTTTGGGGAGTTATGGCCCAAAACGTACCAAAAAATGGCTATATTTTCAAAAAATCATAACTTTGTCAGTTTATGTCCGTTCTTTGAAATTTATAAAACAGTAGATTTTTTTTTTTGAACATTAATTGAACATTTGAGAATAAAATTTTTAATTTTTTTCCTATTGATTGGATTATTGATTTTTTGAAAAAATCTTTAATTTAAAATATCTCAAAAATCTTAGGTTACCGTAAAACCTCTAATAGAACGACATCCGGATCGTCCACTTTGAGCCTATATATCTCATTTGCTGTGAAAGATATCAAAAAGTGGCTAAATAGTAAAATGTTGCTGATATCCTGATAAACATTTTACTAGTTAACCACTTTTTGATATCTTTTCAAAGAAGTGAGATATATAGGCTCAAAGTGGACGATCCGGGTGTCGTTCTATTAGAGGTTTTACGGTAACTTTTTTTCATTATGACCATTGAATTCAGCACATTTGATTCACTATAGAAACATATCAACACCCCGGGGGAAATCATGCTCACACAAGTTATGCCAAAAATTGTCAATTTTTGGCACTTGGCTTCTTTGAATTCGTTGTCCTCGGCGGCCAGTATGATGAGGGGCACATTTGTTTTTGTCATTTTTACATGCATATATTTAGTTTAAAGTGCCCTATTACATGTCAAAATTCACTAAAAATAGGGATTTGGCTGTAATAATCGTAAATATTTCCATTTTAGGGCCTAACTCAAAATTCTGTTCAATCCGTTGATAGAATTAGGTTTTTCTTATCATGTTAAAAAAAGAGTTTGGCTGTTTTC